AGGACTGTTTGAGGCATATGATAGCTATGTGATTAACATGATGATTCAGCCTCTATGGAGAGAGACATATGACAAGCATGCTCATTTCTGACGTGGAGCTAATCTGAAGTAAACATTGAATACTGCTTTCTATTCCTCCATCTTGTGACTGTGGAACTCCCTCTCTTGGATATCAGCATGTGAAGGACACTGTTCAGGAACTAGTTGATGCTCTGTATGTGATGACTACTTCCATTCTGGAGAGGATCACAGATACATGGATCCTGAGGTTCAAGCTCAAGCCGGGGACCAGGGAGATGTTTCTAACACCTTCCTACCTATTTACCTTTCAGAGCTGGAAAATGTCTGAAGAGGTTCCACATGAGGCGGATCATACCCAGTCCACCCAGTCCACCCAGTCCACCCAGTCGCCGACCCAGTCCCCGACCCAGGCTAAGTCCGAGTCTAAGACCCAGCAGGGCTCCAGCTCCTCCAGCGGTCCCACCTCCTCCTCCAGCGGCTCTGGGACTCTGAGCAGCGTCGACACCATCCCTGTCACTCTGTCCTCCGTCCCAGAGGAGCCAGAGCCTCAGCCCTGGTGCCGCCTGCTGCCCATGGCCCGGGGCTTCAGGAGCCACGGTGAGCTAACACTGGGCTAACACTGGGCTAACACTGGGCTAACACTGGGCTAACACTGGGCTAACACTGGGCTAACACTGGGCTAACACTGGGCTTCAGGAGCGACGGTGAGATAACACTGCGCTAAAAATGAGCTAACACTGGGCTAACACTGAGCTAACACCGAGCTAACACTAACACAGGGCTTCAGGAGCGACAGTGAGATAACTTTGTTTTTAAGAAAAAAGTAAGAATTTTGAGATTTTGAAAAAAAAGTAAGAATCTTTAGAATTTAAGAAAAAAATAAGAATTATTTCAGAAAAAAAATTATTTTTAAGAAAAAAATCTGAATTTTTAATTTTTAATAATTTTGAGAAAAAAGTCAGAATGATGTATTTACTGTATTTTATGTGGTAGAACAAAGCCTTTAAATCTCTTCAGCTCGTGTTTATCACAGACCTTAATTCAGGAGAACAACCAAAAACACATTCAGAGAACCATTGACCTTCAGAACAGAGGACAGGAAGTGAGAACTAGTCCTTGAGTTAGCACCGGTCTTACACTGGATGTACGTTTAGCTCTCAAACTAACGTAGTTTTATCCCGAATGGTGTCCTGACCTGTTTGTTTACCAGTGGTTATAATCTTTAATAAATATCAGAAATCACACTCTGTAATCCTGTTGTTTGTTTACTAATCCTGTTGTTTGTTTACTAATGCTGTTGTTGACTGCTTGTCTGCAGACTGTTTCGAGGACCAGTACCTGTTCGGACGCGGCTCCAACTGTAACTACGTTCTGAACGATCCGGACGACACAGAATCCAAGAAGTTCAGAATCTACAGCAAGAGACACTTCAGGATCTACAGGGTGAGGTCACTTCCTGTTTATCATCTATGCATCAATGAGACGGGATCATGTGACGGGAACCTGTCTGTCTGCCTGTCTGTCTGCCAGGAGGGCAGCGAGGTGTTTGTGGTGGACCTCAGTAACAACGGGACGTTTGTGGATGGTATTCGGATCGGGAAAGACAAGAAGCTTCCTCTGGTCAACAACGCCGTGATCGCTCTGGCTGAGCCGCGAAACAAAGGTCAGACACCATTCAACATTCAAAGACTCAACATTCAAAGACTCAACATTCAAAGACTCAACATTCAAAGACTCAACATTCAAAGTTTCAACATTCAAAGTTTCAACATTCAAAGACTCAACATTCAAAGTTTCAACATTCAAAGTTTCAACATTCAAATATTCAACATTCAAATATTCAACATTCAAAGTTTCAACATTCAAAGTCTCAACATTCAAAGATTCAACATTCAAAGGTGTTATCATCATATGCTCAGCAGCTTCAGTCTGAGCTCCTCCAACAATGCAACATATATAATAAAATACAAAAATAGTAGCAAGAAGTCTGTAATACATGTAAAATAGAATATGATATGTACAAGAAGA